TCATTTTCTTGGTTGTTGAGTGATATGGGAGGGTCCAGCCCACTGTGGGTGGTGCCACCCCTGGGTAGGTGGGCCTATGTTGGATAAGAGAGCAAGCTGAGCAGGGGCCACGGGAGCAAGCCAGTAAGCAGCATTCCTCCATGGCCTGTGTTCCAGCTCCTGCCTCCAGGTTCCTACCCTGAGTTCCTACCCTGGGCTCCCTGATGAACTTGCAACCTGGGAGATATAAACTGAATAAACCCTTTCCTCCCTAAGTTGGTTGTGGTCAGTGTGTTTTGTCACAGCAATGAAGAAACAAACCAGGACAGGATCTTTCATTGAACCTACAGCTTGCCATTTCAGCTAAACTGGCTGGCAAACAAGCAACATGTTCCCTGACCTGTAGGGCTACAGAAGCACACCATCACACCTGGTTTTCACATGGGTGCTGGGGATCCGAATTTCGTTCCTTAAAAGTTCTTTATGTCCTGAGCTACCCTAGCCTCTAACATTAGTCTTATGGCAAAAAAGGATGAGAACATTAGTTGTAAATATGGAATATAAGACAGAAGAACTGAATAAAGGGGCAAAGGATATTTCTGGATGAATGAAGCTGACTTACATGGATATATTAACTGTCAAAAAGCACAGAACTAGAACCCAGGTATGGTAGTACAGGCCTGTAATTCCAGCACTTGGGAGGCAGAAGGAGGATCAAGAGTTCAAGGCTAGCCTCAGATATATGAGACTCTGTCTTAAAAAAAAAAAGGAAAAAAGTGTACGCACCACCTCTTTATTTTACTATATGTGCATTATAATTCTATTTCTTTTTTAAAAAAATATTTTATTACTTTTATTCTATGTGTATGAGTGTATTGCGTGCATGTATGTGAGTGTACCCATGTCGTGCAATGCTGCAGAATCTATTTCTTTTTTAAATATTTTATTATTTTTATTTTATTTGTACTGCCTGCATGTAGGTAGGTGCGCCCATGTCATGCAATGCCCACAGAGGTCAGAAGAGGAAATCAGATCCCCTGGAACTGGAGTTATGGACGGTTGTTAGCCTCTATGTGGGTGCTGGGATTCAAACCCAGGTCTTCTGCAAGAGCAGCCAGTGCTCTTAACCATTGAGCCATCCCTCCTGTCCCCTTATTTATTTTTTTAAAGGGAAGCAATAACAAAAAAATGTAATTCTAGGGGCTGGAGAGATGGCTCTGTCGTTAAGAGCAATGGCTGCTTTCTTTGAGGACCTGGGTTCAGTATTTATTTTATGTGTATGAGTGTATTGCCTACATGTGTTTAAGTGCATCTCATGTTGTACAATGCCCACAGAGGTCAGAAAGAGGGTGTCGGTTCTCCTGGAACTGGAGTTATGGATGGTTGTTAGTCACCATGTGGGTGCTGGGAACTGAACTTGAGGTGGCACTATTAGGAGAGAGTGGAACCTGTAAGAGGTGGGCCTAGGTAGGTCTTGAGGTCACCAAGGTATGCCCTCAAAGAGGATATAGGACTCAGGTCTCTTCCTCTTTCTCCTTTTTGCTTCCTAGTCAAGAGATGGGTAGCTTTGCTCTGCTACTCACCCCACCATGATGTGCTACCTCAACATAGGTTCCAAGTAATGGAGTCCATCAATCATAGACTAGAACTTCTAAAACTGTGAGCCAAAAGAAACCTTTCTTCTTTATAACTGAACAATTTAGGTACTGTTACAGTGACAGAAAGCTGACTACCTTTCAACTATCGAACTACTCTAATTCTTTCCCTTTTCTCTTACTTTAATGTTCTACTTTCTTGGTACCATTTTCCCTATCTCTTAACTGATGTTATTCTTTTCACTACACAATCTTGTCTACTTCCTTTAGGGTTGAAACAAAATTTATCTTTTCCACTAAGAGCTCAACTACCTAACTTGGATTCTTTCCATATTCTCCTCACCACTTGAAGATCTTGCTCATAACAGATGTATTTATTTTACTGAAACTGGACATCTCAATCTTAATGACTCACCAACACCATCTCCAGATTAGAGAGAACCTTTAAGGGAGAACTGTAAAATTACAGCACTCTACAAGGTTCTTCCTCTTGTGCTTTTTTACTTTTCCTTCTTTGAGCTGCCAGGGCCTTAAGTACAAAAGGGCTGAAGGGGTAGGGAAGAAAGGCAAAAACTGGTGGTTTGGGTATAATCTGGACTTCAATGAAAAACGGCTTAAACTTCCATCTTTGCTCAGAGTACCTCTGTTCAGAGTGCTAGCCCAAGGAAACAAACTGATTCTAAAAGCAAACAGTTTCCAAAAACAAACTCTAGGTGAAGAATAACAAAGTCTATTCCTGCGCGAACTTCCTGTATTGATATATTGGATAGCTAGACTGAATGTGGAAAGTAGGAAGGAAAACCCCAACTGCTACACACTGCCTCATATACTAAACTATTTCTGATTTTCTAATAGCATTTTAATATGCACTTTGTAAAGTCAGGTGGGGTAGGAGTTTTGGTAGGCAGTAAGCAAGGGGTTTTGGGGAACCCTGCTGTTGAGGTCGACTCCTTTCTCAGCAGGGGCTTCCTGCCTGTCTTACCTGAAAAGTGTCTCCAAGCATGGATGCCTGACCTTATTCAGAACATGACCTTTGGCATAGTTACCTGCAACAAAAACTGCCCCCAGGTTTTTTTCTATATGATAATTAGGCATTGCCCTATAGCCAGATGATAAGATCCCCCTACAACATGTAAATAAAGCATAATAGGAGCACCTATCAGCTGAAGCTTTGGCTGCTGTCTCCACACTATATTTTCCCTAACCCCCACTGAATAAACAGAGCTGTATTACTGAATCTGCCTCCCCAGAAGGGCTTTCTTCCGTCAGTGCTCACTGGCCATCCTAACCCTGTTCGTCGCTTCTGTTCCCTTTGTTCTCATGGATTGGTGGCCAATGACACATGAGGGGAGGGAGAGACACCATAAACGGTAACAGGTAAATATTTTAAACCATTTCTTCTTTTGAAATCAAGTGCTGGGAGTATCTGTGACTTTTTGTTCTGAATGCATTACCATTTAGAAACTATGGTCATTATTTGCCAAATTTCATGATTTTCAACTATAAACTGTATGTCTTCCAAATCTTATCCATAAATCTATTCGGGCTCCTGATCTAGAC